TTTTGTCCATTCCCACACACATGCATTTTTATTTATGCATACCTGTTCGGCTCATTACTTATTTCCTCATAGGTACCATAGGTGTGCGTTTTTTTAATAAATTGATGCACATACATGAGTTTTTCTGAAAGTATGGATAACTCAACAGAGTTAATGGCCTGAGAAATGTTTCCTTTTGTTCATGAATTTTTGCTTTTGATACCTAAAAAGACTGTTTTAAAAAAAAATAAAAAACTGTTTGGCTGTCTTCTAGTAGCACTTCAGAATTGCTAACTTGAACTCTCAGCTTACCATTATCTGGTTTTGGAGAGGTGCCTACTTTCAAGTTCAGTGCTGTGCAGTCTACAAAAGAGTCTTTTAAGGATGTTGTGCCAGACTGTTTTTCACTCCCAGATAAGAGGTTAAATGGGCTGGTAGAAACTCAGCAGGAGCTAGGAGCTACTACTGGTCAAAAGCAAAATGCTGACAGTGAACAGCTTGGCAGTGCTGTGTCTCTGTACAGGGCAGCAGTGTCCAGATCCTAGAGAGTGCAGATATCACGAGAAACTGGAAGAAAGGGGATATATCTCGCAGGTGTATTTCTCAGGATGCTGTGTTCCTTGGTGTCTGGCACTACAGTGATTGTACTGTGCTGAACCTAAAAACCATGCCTACATAGTAGGCTTTTTAGGTCTCCAGAATACTGGACTCTCTTCTGCACATTCAGTTATGAACATTTTCTCTTTAGGAATTAGTTTTTAAGGAAGATGTCGTACCATGCTTTTTTCAGCTTCCTCTTCAGGATCAATTTTACTTTCTGGCGGTAGTTTTTGTTCTTGGAAACGTTAAGTAATTTTAGAACAGTATTGGGGAGAATAGAGGAAATTAAATGTTTAGGCTCTAGGTGTGGATAGAGTGTCCCTTCTTCTCTCTTAATTTTACATTTTCATGATTTGTTTTTCTGATCATTGGTGTGCAATTTCCAGCATATTGGTGCCAAATTACCTCTCCCTTGCTGCCACCCCGGTAACTTCTAATTACTCAGGTCAGCTGTTCTGTCCTCTGCCTTTCCTGCTCCTTCACCTTTTCTTCTTTGTGCCTTTGTAAATTTGATCACATCTATCAAGACAGTAAGTCACTCCATAGGCAAAGAGCGTTACTGGGGCATTTGATTCCTGGGCTGGAAATAATCAGGATTCACAGGCTGGATGAAGGCAACTTGACTTGAAAAGCAGTGAATGAATGTAAAGTCTAAACTTTCAAAAATAGTGTGATTAAAATTTACTCCACTGGGTCATACTACATTATGTAGGTGGAAACAGTTTTTATTAGAGTATTTTTAAAAAGTGCTGTTAGCAGCATAAAAGGATGTGGAACTGCTGGTTGTCTTTCAATGAGTGTGTGACCTCTATCTTATAAAGGTCCCTGCCAGAGCTGCTAATTCATTCACTCCTAAAGATGTCGTGTATACATAAACACACACACTTGGATCAGGGGATGTTTCTGCAACAGTATAAGGAAGTTCTGTGCATGTCATTAGGAGCATGTTCGTACTGGCTCTAATTCTTGGCAGACTTAACCTGTCCATGCTGGTGAGCAGGAAAAACAAAAAGGAGCTTTTATGTCACTTACCTGCTTGCAACTTGCTGACCGAGGAAAAGGAGGCAATAGCAGGAGAAAAAAAAATTAAAAAATGCCAGAATGCCCCAAGATTCTTCTTACATGCTTCTGCAAGTGCAATTTCTGCCTTGGGGGTCTCTTTGTGAAAGTCCTGAGTCCATTTCATTTAAGGCCAGCTGTCTGTTGAGCACACTGGTTTTGTCCAGAAAATGTACTAGAAATTTGGACTGTGTCAATAGCAAGTCACAGTCATCAGCAAAATAGTTTTCTTTTGCATAATGGGACAGTTGATTTTTTTTTTTAATGATACGATGTTTTATGCAAGTTAAGAAAGTAGATTATAAAAAAGGAGAACCTTTCATAGTGGTCTGATTTGGTGCACTGACAAGCACAAGTGCAGAATTATGGACACCATGCAGAGTTTATGGGAGGCAGTCCCTAGCTGTCTTTGCAAATGGAAGAGCAGAAACAGCTCTATGACCAGGGGAGAGGGAATGAAGTTTTAAAATCATGAGACAAGCATACTTTGAGCATACTTTGCTGGTCATCCATTCAGCACTGGTTTATGCCTCTTCTGTAGAGGAGTTACTAGCTCTTAGTTTTGCTCAGTTTCTGTCCATATGATTTGTAAATGCACCTTTGCTTTTGGATAATAAATGACACACGGCTTCTTGGCATCTCAAGGCTTGACTTTTTGTCTTGATTACCTTGGACACCTGGCAGATGATAAATGATTGATTTAAATAAACAGTAAAAGCTACATAGTGCCTTCCATGTGTGTTTATCTTAACTTTGTAACACAGTCCAAATATTATTTAACTGTCTTTATTTAAATGATACAACATTCTCTTACATACAGTAGAACAGCTGATTCTTCTGCTCTACTTACTTGTTGGACATAGTTACTTACTACTTTTTATTTTCCTAAGCATGATTGGGACTGCTGAACCAAATGAGAATTTTTTTACTTGACAAATTATTTTAGTCAAGTTCATAGGATCATAGGATTATGGAATCATGAAGATTGGAAGAGGCCTTCAAAGGTCAGCCAGTCCAACTGTTCACCTACCACTACCATTGTAGCCCCTAAACCATCTATATCACATGGCACCATATCCAGACTTCTCCTGAACACAAGTGTTGAAATTAGTTTGGAGGTTTGTTTTTTTTATTAAGACTGTCATTTGCTTTGCCAAATAACTTCTAGGAACAAGGTGTCTAACTTGTTTTCTGATCTGAAGGTAATGCTGTTGTTTTCTGTGAACTTCTGGGCTCTTATATATGCAGTATTGCAATGCATTGGAGGAATGGCAGTTCTTACTTTGTATATAGAAAATACTATTTTCCATTGGTCAGTGCATCTGGTACTTACTTTTTATTGCAATAACAGTGACATTGATCCTTTACATATTTACAGGAGACAGTAGTTATAAAGAAATATTTGCCATAATTTGTTTACCAAAGAAAACCTAGCATGAAAACATAAATCCAGGTGCAAATGGCTATTAGTTTTAAAGCCCTGCCCTTTCTATTAAAAGTCTAAATTGATGCTTATAATATTTAAATTATAAATGCTGAATTTCTAACATCCATTGGCATGTTCTCACCACTTTTGGCCAAAAATGGTTCAAATACCTGTTTCTGCAGCTTGTTGTTCATTATTAGCACAACAGTACAAGTACACGTCTAATGAAACAGAGACACATTCTCCATGCAAACAAACTGATAATACAGTCATACCCCGCCATGATAAGGTTTTTACTGTATGGGATAAATCATATTATACTGTGGTTTGCACGTGGAACCATCTGGTGGTAAAAGCAGAAAAATGACAGATAGACCATCATTAGTAGAACATTTTTCTGTATGCATCTTCTTGAGAATTCCTTTTACAAAATGTGGGGGTTTGGTTTGGAGGGGTTTTTTGTGGACTTTTTTTGTTTATTTTTTGGTTTTTGTTTTGGTTTGTTTGTTTGTTTGTTTGTTTGTTTTAAGTGGAAGCTATGGCTTGATTACCCTGAATTCTCACTGCTTCTATCTTGGTTGTAGTGGTGGTTATTCTAAATATCCCATGGGGCATCAGCTTAGTCATATGTAATTACATAATATTGTTTTCAAGGCCCGTGTGTGAAGAATAAAGGTGGAGAAAGAGAGCTGTAACACTTCATAAAGATTGTCTTATAAAAAACAGCCAACCAAATGTTGCTACTTTGCTTTTTTTGTTGGTGCATTAGCCAAGATCAAGAAAGTGAGAAAAATGTAATATTCAGACTGATCCTGTCTCAAGAATGTGGATTTCATAGTACATTAAACTTGGCACCTTGAGATTTTTCTCTCTGCTTGAAATGTTTCTAAACAAAATTTTGCATTTTAGAGACATAACGTTATGTAGACTCTAATCAGGAGAATTTGCTATTTAACTTACTTTGCTGAAAAGTAATGGAGAAGTCATGGCAGTCAGATGAAGGCCCAGTTGACTGGAAAAAGGGGAACATTGTACCCAGCCTTAAAAAGGGTAAAAAGGAGAGCACTGGGAGCCACCAGTCAGCCTCACCTCTGTGCCTGGGAATTTCATTAAGCACATCTTCCTGGAAGCTCTGCTAAGGCACATGGAGGACAGGGGTGTGATTTGGGATAGCCAGCACAGACTCACCAAGGGCAAGTCCTGCCTGACCAACCTAGTGGGCTTCTATGATGGAGTGACAATGTCAGTGGACAAGGGAAGGGCTACAGATGTCATTTGTCTGGAATTCTGTAAAGCCTTTGACAATCCCCCTTAACATCCTTCTCTCTAAATTGGAGAGAGATGGATTTGATAAAATCAAGTGCATCCTCACCAAATTTGCAATGACACCAAGCTGAGGGGTGCAGCTGGCACTCTTGAAAGATGGAATGCCATCCACAGGTACCTGGACAAGCTCAAATGATGGGCCTATGGGAATCTTGTGATGTTTAATAGGACCAAGTGCTAAGTGCTGCACCTGTGTCAGGACAACTCCCAAACAAACTGTGGGATGAACAGATCAAAAGCAGTCTTGCTAAGGACTCAAGAAGGACTTGGGGGTGCTGGTGAATGAGACTCCTTCATCTGAGTTTCCAGCATGACTTTCTTGGTACATCTGGATAATGTAGATGCAGACCAACAAACACTGCATAGAAGTTGTTTCTAAAACTGTGTTCATACATACTCATTTTCTCAATTTCTTAGTTTTCCTGATGTCTGATTCTGAAATCTGATAAATCCTGTTCTCATTTCAAATTCTTCTCTGGGTAGTTGTTTTTTTATTTTCTTTCTCATCTTTCTCATGAGATGTCTTTTTTGGGGAAAAGACTTGGCTATTAAACAGTCGAGGGAGAAAAGAAGAATTATTAATCAAATCTTTTGTACTGTTTCCAAACAGGGACGAAGAGGCTTAGGTTCAGTCTTTGTTTGGGCATCTGGAAATGGTGGAAGAAGTCGAGACCACTGCTCCTGTGATGGCTACACCAATAGCATCTACACTATATCCATAAGCAGTACAGCTGAAAGCGGAAAGAAGCCATGGTATCTGGAAGAATGTGCGTCCACACTAGCTACAACATACAGCAGTGGAGAATCCTATGACAGGAAAATAGTATGGGTTTTAATTGTTTTTTTTCATGTATATGTGTTTGTATTTTGCACAGCGACTTTGGGGGCTGGAGAGAAAGAGAAATCATTTATACTAATATCTTCCATTTGTTAACCACTTATCAACAGTTTTCACATTTTACAGATGTATTAGCAGTTTACCTAGATATATAGATCTCTATTTTCTCAGGTTTGTTTTGACCCAGCATCATTCCTCTTTTACATTCAGTGACAGTCAGTTATTACTGACATATTGCTGCCTATTCTGGAAATATATTGTAAGGAAAATTAGGCTCAGTGCTCATCTTTTCTGTGTTGCTCCTCTTCTCATGCCTAAGCAGCCAGCATCTGTTTTCCCTATTGTTCTCATCTTTGCTGGCAAATGACAAATAGTTTTAATTCTGTTTGATAATCTGTTGATATCGTTATTGTTTGTACAACCTATGTGCCTTTGCAAAATGAATGCATTCAGGATATATTCCAGTATTCAACATTCTACTCCTTTTAACTTTTTAAACCTTTTAAACCTTAAACCTCAGCTTGATGAGGTTTGCTATTATTGTCCTTTTCCCTGCTTATTTATTCTAGTGCTTAACTAACCAAAATTTATTACTTCTGGATCATAAAATTGAAGGATTTGGAGAGCTTTTTTCTTCCATATGTTTTCTTAAGGACTCATCTAACATTTCTTTCTTTCTTTCTGGTCCTTAGCAGATTCTTCTCTTGGTGTCAATAAAGAGTTAAAAATATTAGCCTCTATGCTTTTTTTAATACTGTTTGCCTTGTCTTTCAGGATTCTGGGATGCTGGCCATCCCTTCTTGGATTCTTTGTTATTTTCAGATGGTCTAATTTTTGTTTTAAATTTGTTCTGAGATCCTTCTTCATTCGGATGATTTTTCTGTTCTTTTCTTGCATCTCTTCACTGAAGCCTTCTCTCTCACTTCTTAACATGTTTCTTGTTATCCCTGATAAATAATAATAACTAAAAATAATAACTTCTGTAATTAAATTCCATTCACCATCCTTTAAAAGATGTTCACCAACTTCTTTATGTTTAAGTGAGACTAATAAGCTGAGCAGATGGGATTGTGGTCCTCCCTCCTGACCTCAACTTAGCCAAGTCTGTAGGACTTCCCTGAGTCCTTTGAATCCTGCAGTTGCTGTCAAGTCAACAACAATTTTTATAAATATAATCAATATTGCTTTCAAAGTTTTCAGTGACAAAAAGTCCACTTAAATTTAGTGTAAGTACTTTTAATTATTCATTGGCATTAAAAGATTTCTCCTGTTTGCTCTTTGAGCCCCATTAGCTTTGATGTATAAGCATTTGGTGTCACAAATTTTATTGCTAGTATGAAGACCACTCCAGTTGTCTGTCTTCTCTCTGCCCATGTAGTCCAGTTAATCCCTTTTGATTTTGATAATGCAAGGTAAGCTTCTTGTTTCATTCTAAGTCATGTTTTCTTATAAACTCTTTTTCATGTTACAAGCTGCTAGAGTCCAAGCTAAACACACCAGTCAGGTAGCAGCAGTATTCAGTAACAAAAGCACAGGAAAATGGGTGTCTGTATGTGCCACGTCAGTCTCTTTATATATTGACCCTGAGAATTGTTAGTACTTGTTATTGTTAGTTACTAACAATAAAGTAACTAACTTGAATTGTTAGTGTCACTGTTACGTAATGTGTCCATCACTATGTGATGCCCAGCCCATTTTTTCAGAGCTGCTGCTTCTCTTTTTCAAAGTTGGTGGTTCTAGGAAATATGTAGGGATACTTAGGGTCTCCTTATTCCACCATTAACAACTGGCTGGTTTAGCACTCAATTCAAACCAGCCTTCATCATCACTTTGTCATTTTCCAAGTTTCTCCAGCACTTATCAGAAGGTGCTAGTGTTTTCTTCCATGTCTTTGGTAAAAGCTTTAGTTCATACTATGGCCAAGAACCAGTTTGTAGAAGACTGATTAGAAACAAGACTAATTTCTTCTATAAGGATGTATATAATTTCTCTGCTTATAATCTTTTATATATGCTTACATTTTTGGACCTTATCCCAGTTTAAATCAAGGTATTATGCATCATGTATATTTTTATTTTCTTAAATTTAAATACTTTTAAAAAAAATATTACATGATGTCTCTTGTAAAATCCCGAGTATATCACTTTCAGCCAAAGTGACGGCCAGACAAAAATAGTACAGTACTTTGGCAAGATTCCTTTTCCAACATCTTATGTTATCCACCATTGAGTATACTACTAGCTAATTAATGTATTAGTAATTAGTTTCAATCCTGTATCAGCCATTTTATACTAGATAAAAAGGTGGGAAATAGCTGATATTAATAAGACAATACTGCTTACCCTTTTAAAATAATGACATTATGCAGGTTTTCTGTCAGTTTTCTGGAACTTGTGCAGTGTTCAAGCATTTGCTAAAAACAACACAGCAGTTCCCTTTCCAGCTCTTGTAAAAGTCTGTGGCACTTCCAGTCTTTCTGATTTAAACTTCTTATTTAAAATAGAGAAAAATAGGGAGATGATTTATCATCTCTCTATTCTTTGAAAATTTAATTTGGACCTTTTTTTTTTTCCAAAAAGGAACATTCTGAGAAATAGCTGTTCACTATAAACTATTATCTCTGGACAATTAAGATAGTTTGGGGATTCTTTTGCTTCTGGTGTATTTTAAATAAAACATACTTACACATTATTTTTTAGGTTCACCATTTAATCTTGTGCCTCCTTATTGCCTCTCTGCATCTTTTATCTTCAAATGTAATTAATTGCTGTTCCTTTATATCTTTGCTCATGTTTTTAATATCAAGTAAAATATCTCTGTATTTCTCAGTCATTATTTGTACTTTATTACATTGCTAATTTAAGCTTTCTGCATTCCTCTGATTCCTCTGATGAGCTGTAATTTTCTTGATGGTAGTCATCCATTTTTTTTAATTTACACAGACTTTCTGCTTTTACAGATTTACTATTTCAGTAGGAGAACATTGCTAATTTCTGACATTTCACTCCCTTATGTCTTGCACTAGGATCAAAAACACCTGGAGGTGATCTCACCTTTATTGTTAAAGACTTCTCATGGAATATAAGCATATATAATTTTTAGTTTACCAAAGAATAATACCCTTCACTTTGGAACTTTGGAACTTTGCATTGTGCTAATACAGGCAGATTAATCTCTTACTGCAAGATTTTTGAAAAATCCTTACAAAGGATTTTTGTATACCTTACAAAGGAGGTAATAATAGCTATATATATAGAATGCACACAAATTATCCCATAATTAGAAAAGTAAGGAAGACATTTTCCATAAACATTATTGAAATAATGAAAAATATGCCTCTAAAAATGTTCTTAATTGGAGTCTCCCTTGGAGATCTCACACTGAATATCAGACTTAAGTGAAAATAATTTTAAATTGAATTCCATTAATTCTATAAGAACCAATTGTTTTTACTAGTCAGCTGGATTAATTTACTAGTTAGATCCTCCATTCTTTTCAAAGCAGTTAAGTTCCATATGCCGGTTTTAGTCCTACAGTGTGCATCATTTTGCACGGTGAATGGCAAAAGTGTAAGTCTGAGTAGCCATAAGAATTAACCCAGGTCTATTGATCATTTGTTTATCAGAATGTATCCTTGACTACTTGTGCAAAGCAACCTTGCAGTTGCATGTGCCATAAGAGTCACTGATCCCAAATGCTTGAAAACCAGACTATAAAAATTCCTGCCAAGATCCTTTTTCCTGTACTATACTATCAATTGACTTTTGAAACACACAACTCTTCCATGTTTTATGAGTGGTACTTTGTATTTAACGCCATGCAAGGCTGTTCACCCTCCAGGTACTTTCAGTAACAAAGCAAAACAGCATAGTGAAGATAAATCACTTCTGTTTGTGTTGTGTGTAAACCAGCTGTCCATATAAGCGATGACTGTGTGCTTCTGTTATGCTACAACCCAGTGAGAAATTCAGTGAAATTGTGAAACCAACTTTTCAAACTGATTGTTGAGAAGTCCTTTCAGCATACACACCCTTACATGGAGAAAGGAATATTGCTATTACCTGTGTGATTGTCTTGCTTATGGTATCTTCTAAGAGCATTGCAATACTGACTGTACTGCTATTCTTTTCTCCAGCTTGTCTACCAAAATTCAGTCTTCCTAAAGGCCTATCAAATATCATCTACCTTGGAAAGAAGTCTTATTTGAAACAAAAAGTGTACTCAAAACAGAACTGAAAATTTGAAATACTAAATTTTTTAAACTGCTGTAAAGTGCTAGAACAGTCTAGAAATCATATGTATTAGTTTTCATTGTTGTACCACACAACCTTTTAACTACATCATGTCTTACACTTTTGTTTAAACTGATGCTCCTTTTGAGTCAGAGGTTGTCTTCATATCTTTCCACAAGAAGCTGAGAGCTTGCAGCAGGTTTAAAGTGAAAAATGTAACAATACAGGGTGAACAAAAAGATTATTATTAAATTTACCCAAATTCTATTTTGCATATAAATTTATATGCAGTTGACAAACAATGCAGGGCTCAAATCTGTGCCAAAATTTGAAGAGTAACAATATTTTATCAGATCATAAGATAACTTTGTTGGAGTGAAACTCCTACATTCAAAATAGGAAACAAAAATACCACAGCAGTAAACCAGAAGGAAGTGACCTGGCACAGGACTTACAACTAACATCAAATGAAGTAAATTATTTTTCTTTTTTAATTTTTTTTTGTCATGTAACACAGCACAGATTTCAGTATCATGTGAGATTCTGCAGTGTTGTAGTGCAGAAATACCTACCCAAGACTTAGGAATAGTGAATGGGTTACAGTTGCATAATGTCATGTTCCACAGTTCCTTCCTATTTTTTCTTGCACTGTTTAGCCAAATATCTTTCTTTTCTGTTTTCTTCTCTGTTTTTCTGTCCAGTAAGTGCAGAATGTATTATAAGGTAAATGAACAAACAGTAATCAAGTATCAGAAACTCACCTTGTAGACTAAAAATTGTTACAGAAATTATTTGATTTCAATATGGAGTAATAGAATCACAAACACTTTAATAACTACACAAAATACTTTTTTCTCTTTTCATTACTACCCATTTTTTACAATTGCTTGTTAAAAATACAGGATGTATTTTTACAGTATTCTAGAAGTTTTTCTAGTATTGGAGGGGTTTTCTTGTCTTATAGAATGACAGCTTAAAATATCTTAAGTTAACAGTTACAGGTAGACACACCTTCTCAGGTGACTTCCTTGTTGTTCAGGAAAGGTACCAAACACAAACCAAGTGTGTTTGACTTTACGCTGTACTGAGTTTTATTGCAGTGATAATTAGGCTCTTATGATCCAAGTTCCCACCCTTTGGATATATTAAAATGCTCAAAACATGCAAATATTCCTACGATGTCTATGGATGTATGTCTTTTACACAGACTCTTATGGAAAATAACTAGAATTATTTTTAGGTGTTTTCAAATGTAGCTGCAAAGTGCTGGCCTAGTTACAGACATAGAAACTCACATTGTGGGATAGAGACTAATTGACAGTAGACAAAGACCATAAAATTATAATTCATTATGGATGTTACCTCTCATAACTCGGTGAGTACAGAAGTATTGGCTTCTGTAATAATATGCAGTTGTCAAGGTATTTTTTCCTATTATTCTCTTTTTTACAGTACTATATATACTTCTTTGAATACCATAGAACCATGCTTAAAGATGGCTTCCCCCCTCCGCACCATGTGGCTAGGATAGGTTAAGCACCACATAATATAGTTATCTATATGGTTCTTTAATTTATCAAACATTGCGCAAAAGCATTTCCTTTGAATTTGGTTTTTGAATGATTTCGTAACACACTAAGATTTTGACATCAGAAAGTTTCTCAGAGATACAATTTATAAGCCTATTAATGACCTATTTCCTGCAAATACCCATATACTTAATGTTCCACCTGTTTTGTTATCTTTTGATAAATAGCAATTCATCTGCTGATTTTCTTTCTCTGCTTGTTGATAAACTTCTGCTCTAAGCAGAAAAAACTTAAAAACTGAAAACAACAACAACTGAAACATCAGCAAAAAAAGCCCATCCTGTCTCCTGCCAGTTCTTCAAGCACAAAAGCCTGTTCTTCAGAAACTCACTCAGGTTATCAAGATATGCACAAGATAATCACAGGACACAATGTCTACACAGGACTTCTGTTCTGGGTACATACAGATGCATAGGCTGTGTAGATTGTAGAATATATTTTTGTTAAAATCTTTTCATTTCTAGGGGCACAGATTCACAAAAATCAACATGTCTTGAAGAACTGTAGCAGAAGATAGAAAAAATTAAATCAGTTCAGAAAACTCATGTCATGAAATATGAAATACTAAGAAAGGCTGAGGCTTGGGAGAGGGTACATGAGCTTGTTCTCTGCCAAGAGAAATCCCATTTTTTACTTTATTCCTTAATTTCCCAGTTGGTAAAACTGTGGAAAGATTGATGATTCAACCTTAATAATGACTGAACAAAAATGGCATCTCCTTCAGAGAGCAAGTTGCTCAGAGCAAGTTGCTTCTATAAAACTGTTACAGTATGTCTAGATGTTTTCCCTTAATAAATGCCTAGCTTTTCTGAAAACTTTGCACCAATGCCTATGAGAGATATTAGAGTGCACTGCAGTAATTCCTCTCTTCCTTTCATCAGGGTGTCTGTGGCTAATTTCATATTGATTAAACTAGGCAAGTACCAGAAACATTGTCATTGTTTTCAATCCAACCTAGTTGATTCAACTTACTTAGAAGCTGTAGTAAGTCATGGCCCTGGAAATACTACATGGGCTTTTCTGGTGCAGTTGGATCAGCATTTTCACAGATCAGCAGTTGTGTTATACTCGATGGAAGATTTTTAAATTTCTCCTTCTCCCCACCCTAACAATCAGAATGGCTTCTAATATACACTCATGGCAGCTTCATGGCGCTATCAAACACCATATCCTTTTATTGTGATTGATGTTGTTGCTCAGGAATTTGAGCACCCTTGTTCTTCTTGAATTTTGCTCATCTCTTGGTGATCATATGCTCTTTTTTCTTGGGGTAAATGCAGCAGTTCTCTGACTCTGAATCCACCGTGCTGAAAACCATGCCTCAAATCTTGGAGGTAATCTACACCTAAACATCTCAGCTGCTGTCAGTAACTTTCCTTTGAACTAGCTGAAATGGGATTTACGCGTATAAAGCTTTCTCAGCACATTTTTGGCTGAAGTATCTGTTGAAAGCAAGATAAGGGTCTGTAGTTGAAATTGGTGCCACAGTATATGCTTAGAACAAGAGGGACAATGCTGCCAATTAAAGAGATGTCATGGCTTATTGTGCTTGATATCTGTGGTGACAGGACAGTAAAATCAGTCTGGAAGGATTCTCTTCCAGAGGATGAGAAACAAGGACAGCACAATTCAGTGTGTGTTTCACTGTATTGACAGAGGCTGTCCCTTAGGGAAAAGCTGCTATGACAGCACTTTTTTCTGCCTGAGCTCCTGGATGCTTAGTTGCCTTAGGTCCTCCAAGGAAAGCACCCACTGCACTACTTTTATGCAGGGCTAAAGTATGTATATATACTTTGTATATATTTATGCATATAAATATATATATTTTGCTATATATATAAGTATTTATATATATATGTAAGTATTTATATATATATGTGAAAGACATGAGCATGTATTAATCCATTTTGCACCCTCTCTTTTTCCTGGCCTTCCTTTGGTCCCTGCCACAGCACTGACCAGTATTTTCCAAATGGGGTACCTGTATCTTATATGTCTCTGGGTGCATGTCATCATCTAGTACTTGGACATCTTAATTCCACCTGGATAATCACTACTTGAGTTTGCACATAAAAGCAGTGCAATGTTAGGGCTGTTACTCCTTCAGTTTCATCTCTTAATATTGTCACTACACTTATGCAATTTCCATGCTTAAAGCTTTTCCCAACACTGGTAACTTCTAAATGAATAGACAATCAATAGGCAAAAGGGGAAGAGAGAAGGAAATTACATGAACATTTTATTTATGGGGTTTCAACTTCTAGCCAATGACAGATAGAAGAAATTATTTAACAAGGTGGGCATCAGTGAAGAACATTAAATGATAGGGGGCAAAAAAGTTCTTTCTAGACTTCATTAATTAGGAAACCCAGCCTCTGGTAAGTTGATTCATTTAAGGATCCGACATTATAAATGGTTTTGTAAGTATTTTTCAATTTTTAGTAGTTTCCATATTGTTTCACTTGCTCCTACAATATTTTCTTGGTGCTGTTAGCTCCTTTTCTGTTAGAAATCTTCTGTGTGAGCTTGCATTTGCTTACATGTTGTGAGAGTTTTCATCAGCCTTACACAAAACATGTAATATACTGAATATGGCTAACATGAATGTGAAACCTATACCTCCTGCACGTATTTGCTTATATTCTGCCCAGATGAGATTCAGATGGTTTTTCAGACCACATTTCATGTATCTTGAGGCGTCAAAGTTAGACAGGCATTTTGGCATACCCTGTGCTTTTTTGCAATTTTTTGATCCTCTTATCCTCCCCTCCCATCTTTGTGCAAATCTATGCTGGAAATGTGGTACAACACTGGTGAATTAGAACACAATAATTCTGTGTGGTTTGATAAGATGTTACATAAGCAAATTTTTCTCTGCCCCTCTGGCAGATATTCTATGTCTTGCAGTGACTGAAATTCTCAGAATAAGTTTTGACATCACAGGTCATTCACCTTCATTGAGATTTGCCTGCTGAAGACTGCTGTCTTCATCCAGTCTGCATGGGTTTTGTTTGAGCTTCTGCTAGGTTGTACTGACATCCTACCACTGCTGCCTTGCTCCTGCAAAGAATCGCTTCTTCAGCAAGACAAGCACAGAGTAGAATCATTTCAGATTGACACTTCCTTAAAGAAGCAAGATTTAGAATAATCACATTTATGTGATTTATATTCTTACAGAAAGCATCTGCCTAAAATTCATTATTAGAGAGAAACATCCTAACACTAAGTAGAAGGCTGTGTGTCTAGCTGGTATTGCACATTACAGTTTATATGTCCACTTAGACTGCATACAAAAATATGTGCAGCATGTAATTATACTTAAGATGTAACAATTTAAAACTGAAAACATCTAATTGGCTGGTGATGGCTGAGGCAAATTTGTGATCACATCAGGATTTTCCAATGAATTACTGTTTCATTTCATGTGATTTATTGCATAAGAAGTGAATTAAAGATTAAACAGGGTGCTTAGCATGAGCCAAATTGTATTCTTTTGTCTCACATACTTCCAGAGTGACTTCAGGCAACCTTTTCAAATCCTCCATACCTCTATGTAGTCTCTAAAACATGTATAAGCAGTGTATATGTCTTATAAGTAGTCTGCATATAAGATGTAGTTCCTTTCTATTTGTAAAGCGCTTTGAGACCTTGGAGAGAAAGTCCTCTATAAATCCAAATAAAAGGGCAGAATTGCAGCTGTGCAGTTTCAAACCCCTCTGCATGTTCTTGTGATTTAAAAGTATCTTTGTTGATCATGCCATGGAGCAATACAAAGAACACTATCTAAATTCAGGAGAGACTTCAAGTTCAGAACATCTAACATCATATATCTTCTTTTCCTTGCTGTTAAAGAAGAAAATACCCTCCACATACATGTGACTCATTCAAGTAAATGAAACATGCTCTATTTTCTGAAGTTGTGTTATAATTTCACACATTTAATTTCTTCCAGATTACTACAGACCTGAGGCAGCGTTGCACAGACAGCCATACTGGAACCTCAGCCTCTGCACCTATGGCTGCAGGCATCATTGCCCTGGCACTGGAAGCAAAGTAAGATCTGAGATATATTCTGAAACAAAATTAAGCATTTACAGGAAGATATTTCTCATTCATCCAGTATCTTTATGTAGACATCACACACTTTGGAACCTCTTATGTCACAGTAACCTTCTAAGGGCAGGAAAGATCTCCATGCTTACCTACACATGAAGGAAACACTGTGGAAATGCTGACAGAGAATGCAGTGTTGAAGTAAAATGAAACAATTTTGAGCACAGGTGGTTTCCATTAAATGATGTATAACACCCTTGTAACATCTTATAGTTCACTAAGAAGGCTGTCTAGATCTGCTGTACCCGGCAGAGTACTGTAGGTCACCTCCTCCATTCACCAGGCTTCTCTTAGCAATGTCAGTTCTTGAACACTGAAAGAGGTTGTGGGAGGTATCAGGTTAACCTGAACATAAGTTAATGTAGTATGAAAAATAAAATCTCAACTTCTGCATGCTGACACAAGTCTATTTTTTAACATGGGTCAAGCTCCTTCAGCTCTAAAAACCATGAATAGTGTAGCTCCATAGTCCTTGTACCTTTAGCTCAAAAAAAATCCTCTTACAAACATTTTTTCAATGTATTTTTACATGATTTGTGCCTAATATGTATCTCTAATGTGGTTCACGGAGCAGCAGAAATGTGGGAGCTCTTCAGGTAAATCTGTATTTCAGAACCTTTTACATTACTTTGTACTCTACTGGATAATACCTGCAGGTTTAAGATGGAGTGCTTCAACCCAAATCCTACTCAATGTTTTTAAGTTCTAGGAGATTGATGCTATTAAATTTGAAGAAAACTAGTTTCCTGTGGGGTCAGCCATTTTCTTTGAAGGAAGTAAGAAATTTGTACACAATAGTACTTTCAAATTGCATGCAGTTCATAATAATATGAACTATATGTATGAACATATGTTTCCATCTTTCATGCTGCTTTTTGTGAAGACACTTGGACCCAGTATTCCGTACAGAATACTTTTTGTTATTGAGTTACAAGCATAAGAATAAGAGTTTGTAATTGAAGACCTGAATCTTAAGTAGTGTGACACTTGTGTCATTAAAATTGTGTTTTCTTAATGCAGTTATCAGAAACAAAGGTCTTTTGAAAAGTTAATATAATGTTATTGTGGGTTGGTTTAAACTTTGAAATGTCCTCTTAACCTCCATTTTAAAATTCTGAAGTTCATTCCGAACAATCTGCTAATGCAGATAAGACTGTGTGTGTGTACATGTCAACTTGCTGTAAGTTTTCTCACTATTCTTGCTTAATGAACTGAAATTGGTAGTTGATTCATTTTTGTTTCGTTGTTGAAAGTTTCAGAACAGTTATGCCTTACAAGATCTACAACAAAGCGATTTCTCATTGTGATTTCTTACAACATTGAAAAGCTTACATTTTTTTTTAGTAACCTTCGGTGGCTCTACCAGTGGGAAATCTGTATTAGTGCATATGGACTAGTATTTTTCTTCAAATAGTTGCTATAATAGACATAAAGACAAGATTGTGTTATAGCTTTATATGTGGTGATGGAGACAAAATGTGCCAGTGACTAAATATCCTAGTAACTCTTTAGTATTTGTAGTACTCCATTGCATGGTACTAAAAAGAATTTCAGAGTGAAAATGTTGAAAATGTTGATTTTGCCTCCTTTTAGATTCTGTTCCATTTCATTAAATGGAAGGTTCTGTTTCTAGCTCTTAGCCTATATATTTGAGTAGATACAAAGGAATTATTAATACCATAAATGTGGTTTTATTAATTTGTATTTCATTCACTACCTTTTCTCTCTTTCACGTACTTCAAATCTGCCACTGCAGCTGACCACAGCCACTAAAAAAATAATAAAAAATTAAAAGAAAAATTAAAAAAGAAAAGGAAAAAAAAAAAAATTAGGGAGAAAAATAGTTCTCATGTTATGGCTTCCCATGCTGGTTTTCTTCACCAGTTTGGAGAAATCTTTGGTCTTGTGACATTATAGATTATGAAGTACAACCTTTAGCATAATAGGGAAATCATATTGTGATCTATCAAATTTTATGTGTGGGGTTTGCTTGTATGGAATCTGTTTAGTTTATTTATGCAGTTTCTGAATTTCATATTTATGTGATTTGAAATTTCAGGTTTTATTTTTCACCTGTGATGCCTTCCAATTTAGGTGACCCTAATTAAATGTTAGGAATTCAAGTATGAAAAAAAAAGTTCTGAAGCCGTCAAAGTATTTTCTGCAATACTTTAAAAATGGAATACAAAGGACACAAAATTGTGGCTCAGTGTAACTGCTTACTGGAACTATTCTGCTTCAAACAGAGTTTGCATTTTTATACATTCTTACTTAGATTCCCTATTTATAACTCTGCTAATGGCAGTGTTTATGTGAAATTTTTAAAAAAGACAAGTTGGAAAAGAGTTGCAAGGTTAGTTATATTCTTTGTACAGCAAGCTGCTTAAAAATTAAAGCACTTCATCCTGAGCACTACTAGATTGTTTGTAATAATGTATAATTTCATTCCATTTTGTGTTGGAAAACCACAATTTTTACCACAGAAGGATTTTGAGTCTGCGGAAGTCAGTTTTCCCCAGCAGCCAAGTTTTATTCCTGGGAGACATCATTAATTGAACAGAGCACTAATATGACCTGGATATGAGTTAGAACAGCCGAAAGGTTGCTTCAACTCACACACGAAGGTACATTTAACCAAAGGAAAAAAAAAAGCAAGGCAGATTTACACTGCAGCCTTGCACTTTCTTTCTTTGACAAACCCCATATGGTAGGATTGGCAAATAGCTGATGGAGGTTCTCTTACCTGCCTACTGATTTGAACCCTCCACTTAGCCATTTCTTCCAACAGGGATCTGCTTCTAAAATCCTGGTAGCAAATTATTTGCGGATGATTTTATGCATAATGTGAACACATTTTTGTTATTTTTGATTTAGTATTTGGGTATCAAAGTGGCATGTTTTCCCTCAGGAATCATAGAATTGCAACTGAGTTTCAGACTGCATGTTTGGAATCCCTGAGGGTGCAATGTAGGGTTGTAAAAATGCAATAACTATCACACAAAGACATATCTTAATTTTCATGTTCTGCAGTTTTCTTATGGTATTTAGGTAGTAAATGCATCTCCAGTTGTACTCAGTTGATGTTTCCCAGTGTATCTAGTACGTTGATCAGGTCCGATGAATAAATGCTTTCTTGTATGTTGCATTTATCAGTCATTACATAATGTCAAATTTTTCTAATTGTTAAATGAGAAGATAAGTATAATCAGTTTAGTGCACAGAGACAGCAATTTTCTTTATAAAAGTAAACTATTTTCATTGGATAGTACCATCTACTGTTGCTAGAAATACCTTTTCTCATTGATAAAAGGGTTTGATTTAGGACTTGATCAAATCAGACTCAGGAGATACAGTGGCCCTGTATTTGTTCCAGAGACCATTGTGCCATGTTCCTTTAAAGAAGCCAAATTTAAATAAAAACCCTTATGCTGCTGACAGAAGAATTCATTATACACCCCCAATTGAACTGCATGTTCCTATAAGCCAGTGCATATTTTCCAGCATGTGATATATAAACTAGTTTCATTAGTAAGGAGCAGCAAGTGAAATGGAAGTATTAGTCTGCTACCTTTCTACTGTGTGGTACACTGAGTGCTATAGCCTTGGAGAGAGAGTATGTTTTCTGTCATGATTCTCTTTACTTGAATGATATGGAATCTTAGAATTATTTCATTTGGAAGGGACCTTAACGATCATCTCGTTCCAGCCTCCCACCATCATCAGAAACACTTTTCACTAGACCAGATTGCTCAGAGCCCCCTCCAGCCTGGCCTTGGAACAATTCCAAGAGGGCACCCTTAACTTCTCTAGGCACCCAGTATGCCAGCAAAGATCTAATCTAAACCCACTCTATCAAAGACAGTAACTTTTCCTCAAAGGAGAGGTGCTTCATCCCTCTAATAATTTTTGTGACCCTCCTCTGGACTTGCTCCAGCAGGTCAATGTCATTCCTGCATTGGTCTTTTTTTACATGAAACTGAGGCTAGAGCAAGGTGGTGCTGGGAAGAACTAAAGAATTTTAGTGAATTCTGATACTAGTGATAGAAAAGTGACATTGTACCACATTCCTCTAAAAGACAGTACCACCAAGTGTAACCACTGAGACAAAAGGAAAATGGAATTCACATTGTAAGGGGTCAAGAATGTCAGAGGGAGATACTTTGGATTTCTGGCAACTGAAGAGATATATTTGCATACCTCCCAGAGTGATTCATTTTTTTACAGAAAGGAGAAGAGCAGTGCACTGTCTAGCAAGGTGCAATTTTGGATACAGAAAACATATTTCTGTATTATCAAAGTTATGGGGGATTTGTCATAAATATAGTCAGAGGTTAAAAGTGATGAGACAGCTGAGGTGAATTGAGGAAGTGCTGTCAAGTGACCTCTATAGTTGAGTGCAGGAGAAGAGGTTATAATTTAAGTGTATCAGCTTTAGCTAGGTCTTTGCTCCACTGATTGATTGCCTGTTATAGAAGGCAATGCTAGAGTGCATGAGTTAAAAATCTGCTTCTGAATCTTTGCATTTTTTGAGTAGTTTCCTTTTAGTATTGAAATAAATAAAAAACATAGCCATAAATAAATGCTTACCTTAGAACCTATCTTTCTCCTGAGGTTTAATCACCTGTTTTAGTTATGATATTGACATTGATTTGGGTGTACTTTGGTTCCTGTTCCTGTTTTCAGTCACATATAAATTTGCCAAAGAATAACCATTCAGGCTGAAATTTCCAATTTAACTTGCATTCAAAAGGTTTACGAAAAATCCATTCAGACATTTCCTAAACTCAAACAAGATTAAAAACAAGTAATATTTTATTGTGATGATTTTTAACTTCTTCATAGAGTTTTTCTGTGTCTGCTTTGGAGTGACAGCTAGAAATGAAACTAGTAGTTTCAGTAGGATAGCTGTTGTTCTGGTGCCAGGACAATGCCTTTAACATGTATAAGCTTTTCAGAAATCTCAGCTGGCATTTTCTCAGTTGAGACTTTTAAGAGTTTAGCAGCTCTGTCCCCTGTAGTTTCTTGGCTTCCCAAGTGTTTTCCAGCATCAGCCTTTAGATGCTAGTCTCTGAAGTTACTTTTGCAGTGCTTCTGGCTGTTCACCTTGAGAGCAGGGATCCCAGCTGCTTTCTGCTGTCAGTTCCTTGTGGGAGTAAAATGAAAAAGGTGAAAGAGGAGCAGTTTCACTTAATCGCAGTGTCCCTGTAGTCAGTCTTTTGAAATGTGGAAGACAGGTCGAGTCAACAGCCTGTGTACCATGCTAACCATATTTGCCTTTATTAACCCAAGACAATGTAAGCCTTCTCCATCTTCACAATCAAGCTGGTTCTAACAGTGGCAACTAACCTAAGGTTTTCTTGCTGTTCCTTCCATGCTGTTATTAAACAGACTGTGAGCATTGTCTTTTGGACAGTCTCCTTTTATTGTTCCTTTGGAGATGACACAATAAAGGATGTAATTCAGATGCCTTTCTCTCAGGGGTTTTCTCCTCCCAATTTCATCATTATCAGCCTTCAGTTAGGCCATTGTTTGTTTGATTTTTGGCACTTATGATTTTTTATCTCTGTGTGCACTGCAGATTTGACACAGGTACACCAGAACACCATTGCTGGTGGATGTATAGCTGCCTACCCCAATGTTCATCTAAAGGAAAACATCATGTCCTATCACAGCTTGTCTGGATTTTATCCTAAAATACATTATATAGATAATGCAAAAGATGAATATTTTTTTTCTTCCTTTTACAAAATAGTGGTAAAACCTTAAAACAGACTGCCACAGAGGTGGTAGATGTCTCATGCCTGGAAATATTCAAGGTCAGTTCAGACAGGATCCTGAGTAACCTGATCTAGTTAAACATGTCCCTGCTGATTGCTGGGTACTTGGGCTGAGTGACCTGTAAAGGTCCCTTCCAGCTCAAACCATTGTGTGGTTCTGTGGAAAATCTTCCAATACTGCCTCATCAGGAGATCAGGATGCACTGCAGAAACTGTGGAGATGCAGCAAGTATATGAACTGAATGTTGTAAAGTAGAGATAGAAATTGATTTAAATTATGTTGTACAGGCAAATAAGGCAAAAAAAGCTTCTACATGCTATATGACATGTAGAAGTATATCCTATGTTACAGACTCTTAATGTGCCTTACATTCCGTAACTTTTTAAAAATCTTTTTTTCAGTAACTTTTACAAGCCCAACAGGTTAAACAATTACTGTCATTCTAGTCCAGCAGCCTAATGTGAGAAACTGCACCATAAGAAAAAAAAGTACCTGTAGGCATAGTAATGTTTTCTAAAAATGCTCAGGGAGAGAACACATCTGTTCTCATATTTAATGAGACATTTAATGCAACAGAATATTTAAATATGTTAAGAATTTGGTTTAAGAACCAAGGTTTCCCTGGTTTTCAATGGCTGGACAGTGTAGGGAGCCAATTCTGGGTCTTATAGACTTAATTCTGTTCTGTCTTCAGCTGAGGGGAATTGTGGCAGTGTGTTCAATAGGGACAGATAATGATGGTCTGAGAATGCTACTTAGTGCCTGGTGTTCTGCACCACGTTATTTTTTTCCTCTTCATTGTTTAGTGGCTCAGTTTATCATTCCCTTTAGTGCACTGCATTTTTAAAGAGAATACTGTTCATCTTCTTGCAGGTAATAGAAAAACTGAAAAATTGGGAGGAGCAAGAAAAAATAGGTGCATGATGGCACATTTAGATCGTCTTCTAAGAAAATAAATTCTCCCTGTTGTAGATATAGAAGAAGCAGGAAACCTACAATCTCTGAATATTTGCCCTAGTCCTAGAAGATAGATTTGTATTAATGTCACAGTGAGAATAGGAACAGCATCCTATTTCACCTTCTAGGTGGACAGGTTTTTATTAATCCTGGAATACACATCTGTTCAGTCCTTGCTTTGCAACTCACCAGCCATCCAACTGCTTGGAATTATTGCAAAATACTCTCAGTGAATTCCAAGACCAGAGTAGTAGACAAATTAATAACAACAGAGGCACCTGGAATAGCTTCAATAGGAACTGAAAGTCTAGAGGAATTTCTAGTTTGAGCTAGCAGTTAGTGAGATTTAGTAGAGCTTTTCAGCAAGCCAAATGTTTGATTTCTTCTCCCTTACATTCATTAAGATACAGTAGCTGGTGGTCATAAAAATTGTCTCTCTGTGAAATGAACTCTTCCCTTAAGTTTCATATAACAGAATATTATCATATATTATTACAGTCTGCTTATGGCAAACCTCACAGTTGTATAAATTTCATATAGTCTTTTTGTAAAATTGGAACATGTTATTTTGAATGGAGCAAAGGAAAGTAGAGACGATAAATGAAAGTTGTTTTGCTTTGGATAGTTTTCAGCTTACATGGCTTTGTATCACTACATCCTGGTAAAACGTCTGATCTGTGACTTTGTCTTTCTCCTGTTTCATAGTCCATTTCTGACCTGGAGAGATGTACAGCACATTATTGTCAGGACTTCACGTGCAGGACATCTGAATGCTAATGACTGGAAAACCAATGCAGCTGGTTATAAGGGTGAGAGCTTTCTTTCTTCTCTGCTATCACAATATTTGATATTTTTGTTTGACACTATGCTGTGCATAGTTTGGAGACCTTTCAGATTCAGTCTGAAGGGGCCTATCTTCTCTTATACAAGGAAAACCTCGTAGAATGACTAATGCACAAAGCCGTCAGCTTAAAAATGGCTTGATCTTCTTCTTAGTCCCTTTCCATCCCATATCATTCACTGCTGTCAGTAAACTAAATAAATTTTTCTTTTTATACCTAGTATTCTGATAAAGTAGTATAGAGTTGAAGACACAGCAATTCTGGATTCCAGCCATGTTCTCCCTCAGAATTATTGACAGTTTCAATTTAAAATGATGAAACAGAATTTTCAAATTTTATTTTTATATTATAAGCTCTACATTATTTATATGTAAGAATTCTGACAGATTTTGGATACAATCAAATTTTGAGCTGTCATGACTTTTCTTGGGACAGGTGATCATTTTTCAGTGACCTGTCATGTCGATTTCTAAAATTTTGTGCCATCTTGTAAATTTGAAGAAAGCTACATCTTAAAAACATTTTTTCACTTTCGTAATGCAAGCAGAGGTAAACACTTGTGCTATTAAATAGGATATTTATTTTCAGGGTGGGTTAAAATGAAAACTTGAATCTGTACATTTTATTTCAGCACAGTTTGTCTTCTGATTCCCATTCACTACATTCTTACTGCTTTCAGTTTGTATTGCATCCTAAACAAAACCCTGGAATGGCTTATTTCTGGTTCTCTGTTCATAAAATTTCCACGCAATACTAAAATACCTCTTTTAAGATGAGATTTGATCTGTTTGTGCCAGATCTTGTGAGAGAAAAATGTAATATACAAGAGCCATCAAATCTTTGCCCTGGCTTCACTTTAAATGGAAGCCTATATTTAATGTATTTTGGATCAAGGCACTGCTATTGTAGAACTTCTTTAATATATAATCCTGACCCAGGACATTTTTGGTGCAATGGCATAGAAATCAAAAAAAGAAAAAGCCCCACTCCCCGCCCCTCTCCACACACACACAAAAACAAACCACCAAAAAAACCCCAGCAAAATAAAAACACCAAACACCTTTTTATTTTTTGATCCAAACCAGTCTCTAACTACAGAGAATGTGTTTAGAAATGGATATTTGATCAGAACCTCCTAATCATGTGAAGGTTCTGATGTTCAAGGGCCTGTTTTTTTATCTCATTTACAAGTGCATGCCCCCACACAAAACACATAAATAGATACTTCCTTAATTGCAATAACATGACAATATTTGTTATTGTGAAACATCTTCCAGGATTTAAAAAGTTTTATCAGGATACTGTGACTCTATCATCAGTTTATTGAAGCTATATGAAGGTCAAAGAACACTTTTCAAGTAATATAAAGCAGAGCTATTTTTTTCATATCTTACTTACAAAATTCTATATTTTTTATGTTTTTCCACTTGTTGCCCAAGAGAGGCAAACACCCTGTGAGTCATTTCACAGCAGCTGTCACTCATTATAAAAAAACAGGTCACACTAAGGTCACACCAGCAGCAGCAACATTGGCAGCAGGACTTGTACTGTTGAATCATGGTTGAACCACTGCTTATTCTGAATCCTTTGAACCATTTTTGTATGCATTGTAACATGTGTGTATATATACACACACACACACACACATATATATATATATGTATGTATGTATGCATGTATGCATGTATGCATGTATGCATGTATATATATATAAATATATATAAATATATATATATAGTAAGGAAAAGGGATGAAAAAATGTTTTGTCTCCACTCATGGAAAGTCACAACCATAAATAAGCTCAACTTGGTAACTTGGATTCAGGAAAAATACCTGGAACTGGCTGAATTCTGCTGTAGACTCAATGGTGAAACTGAAAAAGAGGAGGACGAGCTAAATGCCTTGACCTCTGCACAGCTCAGGAATCAACCTTAACCCAAATAAAGGCATTAGTTTTAGCTAAGTTATTCTGGCAACTTAGGCTGAGCACATGGTTCCAATAAAAATACATCTCTCTTTAAACTCCTGTTGGTTTTGGAAGAAGAAACAAAAGATTTAGTTTAAATCACAACATCCGAACCTGAATTCAAAAAGGGATTTGCACACCACTGCTGGAAAGATTGAAAGAGGTTTTTTATTGCACATGGCAATATTTAATATAATATTACATTATTATCCTTCACTATTGCCAAAAGTAACAATTAAAGTACGGTTTTTCACAGATGAACTATTCTGATCAGACTGAATTCCTTAAGGAATTGTATCATAATTTTGTTGATAACAAGATCCATGTTTCTTCCACAGCATGATCTTAAGAGTGGGTGGAAGGTTTTTTTAAGTATCTGAAGCAGACAGTCACAAGAAACAATCTACCTTTCTTCAGTGTATAATAGTGGAGAAAGAGGGAAACAAGAATAAAGAGAAAGAGAGGTTTGCTGCTTTAGAAATAAGAACTGAAAGGGTGAAAAACAGCAAAAACCTGAAAAAAACCTATCACTCAACAAAGGGTCAGCCAGAGCTGGTAGTTGAAAGTGGGTCAGTGCCATTTCAGAGGGCTGTTTTTCTGGTCTGCATGGCAACCCTCTCCCTTTGCCATAGTCCCTGGCAGTGTTTTGCCATTGCAGAACATGCAGAAAGAGCTCACAGATGTCATTACTGGTTTCAAGATCTCCTTTTTGTACTGTCTTACATTTATACAAAGAAGTATTAATTAATGCAAAATGCTTAAGCCAGCTAGTGATTTGCTAAAGCAGTGCTTGTTATTTGTTTAATTTTCTGGCAAGTAAACAGTGCTCATTAAATTCATGTCAATAGAATTAACTCAGGAATGAGAAAGAATTTTTACTTGGTAGGGGTTATTTATTGTTTTCTTGTTAGACAGCATGCATCTTTTCTTAAGAACTTGTTATTTTGTAGTCTGAAATGAAAAACTTGAATACTCAGGATATTCTCTGGTTAGTCAGTTGTACATATAATTTGTCAATAGAGGGTTTTTTAATAATTAAAGAAGCTAATTAGCTGATTTTATGGAAAAATACTTGAGAGCATCTGTTTTTGTGAAGATATTAAAACTGTTGATCTGTTTCTGCTGTGGCAGATTGGATGCAAATCCTTGTTCTGTCAGCTGTTTAGTCAACAGAGCATGCAAGCACATTCATAAAAAGGAAACTGCATTAATGCTGACTTGTCTCTGAGTTGAAATATAGAGAATGAAACACTGCAGTTTTAAGAATAATGATCAAATCATATAAACAGTTCTTTGTCTGTAAGTGAAGTTCCACATACTGTCAAATACTGTTTCTGGAGAAACAGGCCATTCATAGGGAGGAATACTACTAATTTGCAGGGAAATTTTTAGTGAACATACTTCACTCTTCCTGGCTCTAAAGGACAGACAATAACACTTCAGTACACTGAAATAAAATGCTACTGAAAGATAAAATAAAATGAAATCAAAATTCTACCCAGTTTTTTTTCAGTTTCAGGCCATTCCTAGGCCCAGAGGAGAAACTCTTCATTAGAGAAAGCAAATTACCCCAATTGCCAAGGAGTAATAACAGAGTCATGTGACATCTCTAGATAAGCCAAAGTATCTGCTGCTTCCATTGAAGAGTGACCCCTGAAAAGGATTAGTCACTTAATATTTTAGGGCCTTTTAATATAATTGCTTAATTACATTATTTAATAAAACTGGTGATTGTATTAGCTGTGAGCAGAACATTAGCAGTCTGGGACTGAGAAAGAGATTAGTCTATCTAGGCTCCTATTTAAGAGATTTAGACTGGACAGATTTATCTTGTGGTAACCAGTACCCAGGCAGGATGGGGGCCTGGGGCCAGTTATGTTTAATATCTTTTTCAATAACCTGGACAAGGGGATCAAGTGCATCCTCATTCAGTTTGCAGATGGCACCAAGTTGGATGGGAATGTTGACCAGCTGGAGAGAGAAGGTTCTGCAGAGGGATCTGCTCAGGCTGGATCAATGGGCCAATTTGTGAAATGCTACAAGGTGGCATTCCAGATTCTGCAGTTTGGTCACAACAACCTTGTGCAGCACTTCAGGCCAGTAGAATAGTGGCTGGGAAGCTGCCTGACATAAAAGAACCTGGGGTGTTGATCAACATTAGCAGAGTTGGAGCATGAGCCAGTAGTTGCCCAGGTGGCCAAGAAGGCCAGTGGCATCCTGGTTTGGATCAGGAATAGTGTGGCCAGCAGGACCAGGGCAATCACTGTTCCCCTGTACTTGGCACTGGTGAGTCCTGTGTTAAGTTTTGGAGCCCTCACAACAAGAAAGACATTGAGGTTTGGAGCATGTCCAAAAAAGGGCAACAAAGCTCTTGAGTCTGATGAGGAACTCTTGAGGGAACTGGAATTGTTTAGCCTGGAGAAAAGGATGCTAAAGTACCTTACCTTTCTCTGCCTGAAAGGAGGTTGTAGCAAGATGAGAGTTGGTCTCTTCTCACATGTAAACTAGTCTAGGACAAGATGAATTGTGATGGGGAGGTTTAGATCGGCTGTTAGGGAAAATTTCTTCTATGAAAGGGTTGTTAAGCATTGGAACAGACTGCCCAGGCAAGTGCTGGAATCACCATCCCAGAAAGTGTTGAAAAAGATGTATAGATCTGGCATCTGGGGGCATGGTTTAGTAGTTGACTTAGCAATGTAAGGTTAGTTGTTGGACTTGATTGTAAGGATTTTTCCCAGCCCAAATGACTCTGTGATTCTAAGTAGGCATCTGACAGCAAATATATTCTTGGAAAAGGCAATCTAATTATATATACATGACTGTCTTCAACAGATTGGTAGATGTAAAGTCTGAGACAGATGTTGTCCACACATATGTACGCATTAGTCTTCTGCTATCTGAACTGTTTAGACTAATCTGAACTTTTGCATTATACATTACCAATGTACATACCAATACATTACCAATGTATTGGTCCTGCTCTGGACTTGCTCCAACAGTT